GCCTGCCCGCCCGGCCCTGCCTGGGAGCTTTAAGGCCACAAAATCGAAACTGTTTACCGGCACAATGACTCTGGGCTGCAGGAGTCATTGTTAGGAGCTGATGATTCGATGGGGGAGGGAACAGAAGCTGCAGAGGCAGGAGTGCCTGGGGCTTGAACTTCGGGCCTCCAAATCCACAAGCCTCCCGGTTCCCAGTGGTCGGTCTACCACTCAACACCATCCCTACCATGGCCATCATGGCCTTCCCCAGCTCTGGCCGCTCGCTGCCTTTGTCAGAAACAACCCCTGCCCTCACAGAGCTTCCTGGCAGCCAGAGAGAGCTGATTCAGCAAGGCAAGATGTGTGTGCTTCATCCAAACCCTAGAACGCCAACAACCAACAGGTCAACAAACACATGTGGGATAAGGGAATGAATCTATCCGTGAGACATTTCGGAAGCACCTACCGCGGGCCTTGAGAGACGATGGAAACACTAGAGTGAACAGATCCAGCCCCGGCCCCTCTTGGACCTGACATTGCAGGGAGAGGGAATCCGCTCATCTCCTTGCTTCTTGCTGGCGGCTTCTGGCCCCTTTGACAGTGCCTGCCACTGCGTGCTCCAAAAATACTGGTTGGTAGTAGGAAGGCGCTATGACCAGGATAGTAATAGAGAAATGGGGCAGGTGGGGGCAGCTCTGGATTCTGGCCTTTGGGTCCAGCCACACTGTTGCTCTGGGATCCAGACTCTAGGCCCTGAGCTCCACATCCTTGGCACTAAGTCTTGGGTTCGGAGCTCCAGGCTCTCGGCTGGGGATTTGAGGGTCCATGCTCAGGACCCTCAGGCTGAGTTCTGGGCTCAATGTTCTGTGATCTGGATTCTGAGGTCGATGTTCTGGGCCCCAGTTGGATTTAAGTTCTAGATTCTGATCTCCAAGCTCTTAGTTCTGAATTAGAGAGGGACAGGCTCTGTGCTCTGTGTTTTGGGTCTGGTTCCTGAGTCCTGGGGGATCAGTCATGCACTCAAAGCTCTGGACCCCAGATTCTGACTCTGGGCTCTGGAATTCAGGCCAGGTAATAGGATGACTTGCTGGAGGCCAGGCAGAGTTATTGTGTTTACCACATAGAAGGTAAGCTCCCCAAGGGCAGGAATTCCTGTTTCTTTCATTCAGTGATATAGCCCCCACATCTAGAAGAGTGCCTGGTGTGTAGGAGGCTTTCAACAGGCAGGCAGATGTGCACACCTGAATACATGATCATGACATACATGACAATGCTGCAGTCAAGAGCCAGGGCATGAGAGGGCAGAACCGTCCCTGTCCTCACTGTGGCCACAGCGGACGGGAGAGGAGGCTGGAGTGCTGGGAGCTGGGGAAAGGCCAAGAGGGCCACCATGCTTTGAGACGGGCAGGCCAGGACCCATCCAGCTACACACCCGGCTGGTTCCTATCTGCTCTGGGTTTCTATTCAGCAGGAAAAGGATGCAGTCTCAGGTTTGCACCTTCTGCACTGCCCTGATGGGCTGGGGTATCTGGGACCTCCTAGGAGGCCTGTTGCCCTCCACAGGACCCTTGCTTCCCTGAGTCCAAGCAAGCACCCTGCCAGCACCAACAGTCTGGGATGGGAAGAATGAGAGGAGGGGCTTCCTGGACCACGTGGATGTCAGGGCTGCCAAAGAGCAAGGAGGCTGGCCATTAGAAATCCTACTCATTGCAGACCCAGGGTACCAGAGACGGTGATTAGAGCCAAAAAGGGTCATCATCAGGGACATATGAATAGAATGGCTAGTAATTGGGGACAGTAGCATCGTGGGAGATAACATCATTCAAAGACCTCATCAGAGAGGTGGTGGTTGTACACTGAGGATCAGGAGGTCCTGGTGAGCAGTATGATCATTGATTGGTTATATCATTCCTCGTTGATCATGGACATGGGAGACTGAGGATGTGAGCAGCAAGAGTGTTACCTGGTCCCCATATCCTTGATGACTGAGGGTAGGGGAGACAAAGGTGATCACATTCAATGACCATCCAGAGATTCAGGTGGTGGGTGAGCTACTGGGCACAAAAGGCGACAATGGTTAGAGAATTTAACCACCAGAGACCCAGGTGGCTGGTGATACCAATGATGAGGAGGCTGGCAGTCAGTGCTCCTGGTGATCAGGATATAAGGGACACTGGTCATCAGGGACTTGGAAGATGAGACTCCACAATCCTTATGCTGGACCCTAGCAAGCTGAGTGATGAGCACTGGGGAGCCAGGGATGTCAGTAACCAGAATCACTGGTGACCACATCAACAGAAAATTTGATGGGAAGAAGATCCCATGATTAGGGACATTGGTCATTAGGTATATTGTTGGTTAGAGATGTTGGTGAATGGAGACAAGTGATCAAAGTCATTGCTAAGGAAACATTGGTTATGACAATAGTGTGATTGGAGATACTGGGGAGAAATATGAGTGATCAGATCTATCAATGATTGGAAAAACATCGATCCGTGACATTGATGGTCATGCTTCTCAATGAACTAGGACATTAATGATTGGGGGCGTTGGGGACCAGTGCATTGGAAATCAGGAACATGAGTGATAAGATGCTCCAGTGATCACAAATATGGTGAATGAGGAAATGCAGTGGTCATCAGAGATGTTGGCACCAGACACACTGAATATTAAAAGTTTATGAATAGAGATGCTGATCAGGAATATCGCTGGTAGGAGATACTCATGGCCAGGTATATTACCAGTAAGCCAGGACAATCACTGAAGACACCGGCGATCGCGTTTTGTGGCTGTCAGGAACCGGACATGTCCCTGATCAGAAGCATGGATAAAATATTGGTGATTGAGTGTTGGTGATCATTTGTTAGTAATCAGATGTCTACAGTCACAAGCTCCAGCAATCAGACATGTCACTGACCAAGAGTAGCAGTCATAGTAGCTATGTCCAATGACCACCTTTGTTGAATGAAGATGATGGCAATCAATGACATTGGTGATCAAAAACATTGGTGACCATATATGTCAATGAACAGGAATATTGATGACCAGATAGCTCAGAAACAAGAGCTGATCAGCATCTGGGAGGAAGTAGATGGGGGTGGGGGTGGGGTCAATCCTTGTTGGGTTCTATGAAAGCCCCAGGAAAAGGATCAGTGTGTAGACCAAAGGCTGGAGAAACCACAAGCCTCCCCGTGCTTCCCCAGTATCCACCCAGACACCAGGACAGACAGGGCCCCATCCCTTATTCCAGGAGCCCTTCTCTCCAAATCACTGGACCCGAAGGGACCGCTAGGACTGACTGCCTATGGCCACACCCAGGACTCAGCAGCCCAGGAGCCCACAACACCGGCCAGAGGCATTCACAAAAAGTATTTTATTATTCTTAACAGTATTCACTTTAAAGGAATAGGAGGATAGCATACAATTTTTTACAGACAATATATAAATGTTGTACATAATTAACAATAACTTAATTCACTAATCCAAAATGAAACAAGCCAAATAAAACATAAAAACAGAAAATACTGCGGATTCTTTTTCTTATGCGGATACTAGTACAAAATAAGTTACTTCTGGCTGTGGTGCCCCCCTCCCCCCCTGCAGCGATCGCCGGGGCTCCTATTGCACTTGGTCGACTACCTCGGCATGATCCTCTTCCCCAGGGCCAGGCCTTTGCCGGCCGCCACACCCCACCACCTCCGCATACAGAATCTAAGCTCGGACACAGTTATGTACAGCTGTACCTTGGGAAGGATCCAGCCAGCCACAGCAAAGCGGAGCAGAACCCAGGCATCTCCAGGGACCCCAGCAGGGTCATGGCCTCTCGCTGGACCCACCCCCAACTCCTGCCTTCGCCACCTGCCAGACCAGCCCCTGGAAGCCAAGAGCAGCCAAAGCCCCTCCCCAGGTCCCCTGCTCCCCGTCCTAGGGCTGTGGGATCCAAGTACTTTTCCAAAAATAATTGTGAAGCTACAGCCTTGGTTTGTAGGTTTTATTCCTTTCCATAGCAAGGACTTCCGTGGCAACGTACAATCGACTGGACCCAAAATGAGTTTAAAAATAAAACAACTAACTCCTCAGCGAGTTAAGCTTATGCAGTCTTTGATATATATATATTTTTTCTTTTGTCTCAGAGTGGGAGGGGAGGGGGATTGAGGGGTGTTGCAGAAAAAGGATGTATGTACAGGGGTTCACCTGGCTGGGGCTCAGACTCATTAAGGGGACACGGGTCACACCAGCTTCGGCCTCAGAGCCAGGGGAGCGATCTGGGAGACATTTCCCCTCTCAAGAAAATGTTGTTTCCTTCCTGTGACCCAGCCCTGGCCTGGGAATCAGCGCAGGACCGCCCCTGATTGTCTCTGCCCTCCAGGGCCTGGCCACCAGGGCACGCACCGCTCAGCCTCCCCAGGCTGCTGGCCCGGCCACACCGGCTCAGCCCAACCTGGGCTTCAGCTGTTTCAGGAAAGGAAGCCAGAGGAGAAGGTGTGGGCCACGGGCCCCCCGCCACCCCGCACACCTGCCCCCAGAGCCCCAGCAAGCAGATGGGCCAAGCAGCACTTGGTGCAAAAGAAGACCCAGAAGAGAATTTGGGGGGCAGCTCAGACCTCCACGTCTCCCTGGTCCTTGTTAGAAATGAGAGCACAATAAATTATTTTTGCCTAATCCCTTCTTCTAAAAACGGTTTGCTTTGTGTGTCCCCTGCCCCCCCAACCTTCTTCTCTTTGTAAAGTTGTCTGTTCTGTTCTCCAAACAATTGTCCATGATGGAAACCCCACCTGGGCAGTAAGCTGGGCCAAGGCTGCCTCCCAGCCTGGGTGAGGACCTTCACAGTGACCGTTGATGGCCAAGGGGAGCGCCCACAGGAGAGGCAGCTTGGGGCTCCGGCCGGGCTGGCAGGAGTGCCATCAGTCTTCAGGGAAGGGCAGGCCGCTAAGGGTTTGGCCCACCCTGCCTAGGGTCACCAGCCTTGCACTGCCAGCCACCCTCTTGGCATCTGTCTGTCCGTTGCCGGGGGGCTGTCCCTAGCCCATGGCGGTCACCATGCTGGATGGGTGGGGGTGGCCAAAGGAGAGGCTGGAGGAGGGGTGGATGGGCGTAGGGGTGGGCAAGATGTGTCCCGAGTGGCTGAAGGGCGGGAGATGGCCCACAGGTGCCATGTGTCCGGCCAGGGCAGCGGCGCTGAAGGGGGAGGCCTTCTCCTGCATGCACTTGGACAGCTCCTCGAAGCACTCCGCACCTTTCTTGTTCTTCTTGGACTTGGTGGACATCTTCCGATTCCTTGTCTGGATCCCTTCCTTCTTCATGGTCAGCGGCCTGTTCACCTGGAAGCAACCACAAAACCTTCAGGAAGTCCAGTTCCCTGAACAAGAAACCAACCCCCAGCTTCCACATGGGGCAAAGACAGGTCTGGGCTGGGGACCCCACTTGCAAACCCCCCACCCCCGCTCATCTCTGTCTTCCTGCCAGCATGCTACCCTGTCAAGAAAGGTGCTTTTCCCTGTGTGGGACCCGAAGGGCAGGGCAGGGGCCCTGAGCCCACTAAGTGCCAGCACTGCCCCTCCACCCCCGCCATAGACATGACCAAACTCCATGCCTACTTTTTGTTTTTTGTTTTTTTTTAAAGATTTTATTTATTTATTTATTTGACAGAGATCACAAGCAGGCAGAGAGGCAGGCAGAGAGAGAGGAGGAAGCAGGCCCCCCGCCGACTCAGAGCCAGACTCAGGGCTCGATCCCAGGACCCTGGGATCATGACCTGAGCTAAAGGCAGAGGCTTTAACCCACTGTGCCACCCAGGTGCCCCTACTTTTTGTTTTAAAGAGGCACCCCTTCCCCGGACCTGCAGGGCCCCCCCCCCCACCGCCGTGGGAGACACACTTCCAGCCGGCTGGTCCCCTCTTATGGGAAGGCCTTCTGGCACTGGGGTGCAGCAGCCGCCTCCCAAGCCAAGCCACGCCGGAGATTGTGGCTGCCCCCCCGCCGCTCCCCCAGCCCCGCGCACCAGGGAGCACAAAGAGCAGCAGTCCCCAGGGAGGGGCGGGCCAGGCCGGGGAGGGGTGGACTCACATTGTGCAGCTTGTAGTAGAGGCCACAGGCGTTGCAGACAGGGTCCCCGTTGGCGTTTCGGCGCCATAAGGTGGTGGTTGTCGTCTGACAATTTGCACAACAGGTGCCTGCTCTCCTGGCGGCCGACTGGGAGGGGAGCGGCGGCGTCAGCAGGCTGGGCTCCCACGCCCCACCTCGACCTCCCTCCCCGACCCTTACCCCACCCCCCTACCCTCCCACCCCCGTCCCTGCCAACTGAGCCCGGGAGCGGGAAATCTCACAGGGGAATCCAGGCATCTCAGAAGCCGTGGAATTTTAGAATTTGGGACCTAAACCAGCACAGAACTTAGAATAAAGAACTCTCAGAAGCCTGATCTCAGAATCAACGGAGTTGCAAGAGCTAAAAGGACACCTTAGCCCCCGCCCGGCAACCATCGAATGGGGAAACTGAGGCCCTGAGGAGGCTGGCTCAGTCCCCCTGGAGCTCCTGGGTCTGACTCTGCAGTCCCACGTGAGTCCTTTCAAAATCCACCATCCTGCATGTGACGCACCCACCCCCTTCCCCGAAGAGGCCAGGCAGGGACGTCAAATGTTTAGGGAAGTCTAGAGCTGCGCCGTCCAGTACCATAGCCACTAGCCACGTGGGAATGTTCAAATTCAACCCAACTACAATTTAATAAAATTAGAGCTTCAGTTCCTTTTCGGGCATTAGCGACATTTCAAGGAATCAACGGTCACGACCACAGTGGACAGGGCAGGGCCGGAACATTTCCATCAGCACAAGGCTGGTCCGTCTGGCATCCTGCACCCCAAACCACATGCTGCTGACTGCCCCGCAGCCCCTCAGGGAATGCAGGCCAGAGGTGGTCTGGAAATGAGTGTCTGGTTTCTGAAGGGAGCTGAAGGCTCCTAACAAGGGAAAGTAAGAGAGTCTTGACTGAGAAAGCAGATCTCCTCTTGTGGGCCCACCAGCACCGCCCCCCCAATATTTCCCAAAGAACCGCAGGCAGCAGGACAGGGGGTGGGGAAAGGAGGCCAGGAGAGGCTGGGACGGCCCTCGGCAGGCCGGAGCTCCCTTGCTGGGTCGCTGGGTCGGAGGGACCAGCCGACTGCTGCCTCGGGGGCGGGGAGGGTGAGGGTGAGTAAGCAGCCTGGAGCTGGAATTCTGACTCAGGGGCCAACACCGTATCCTCCACCCCTACCCCCACCCGGGCCCTCACCCCGCCCTCGCTGGGGGGGTGGGGAGGGCGGAGAAGGGGGGCCCCCAAAGCGGCAAGCGATTTAAGCCTCGTAAATCACTTCACCCTGAAAAAAATATATTTATTATTCTTAGCATTTTACGCATTATTTGCAGAGCGGAGGGTATTAGAAATTTCAAAACAGCCCAGCGAGAGGCAGGACTGAGCCGAGGAGAGGCTCTAAAACTCGCGGGGTCCGGAAACAGATACGCGGAGTTTCCTTATCTTCAGGCTGCAGATGTCCGGATAGGAAACTCCGGCAGGAGATCCGAAAGGGCATTTTTTTTAAATCACTCAAATGAAAATACACAGTATAGGTGACTCCATGGAAAAATAATAAAGGGCAGGTTTTTTTGGTGGTTGGTGTGAGTGTGTGTTTTATTTAAATAAGCGTGAGGAGATTGTGTGCTGGGCTACAAGGAAAATTACTTCATGGCCCTATTTTTAAAAAAAAGAGTTAAACAGAGGCCAGGGGACGGGAGTTGGGCCCTTGGACACTCAACGTTGGGGATTCCTGAGCTTGGTGGGGTGAGGATACCTGGTTGGTTGCGGAGGGGGAAATCTGGCCCGGGGGCGGGAGGGGGCTGGAATCTGGCCTAAAAGAAGGGCCACCCCAAGTGATTTTAATGATAAAAGAATTTCAAGAGGCAAAGCAGCTGTCTGGGAAGGGTTTGGTGGTGTTACTATTATTTTTTAAATAAGCCGCTGGCCGGGCCCAGGTTGGCGGGTTCTCCCCAGCCACCTGCTGCCCCACACTTACCAGTCTCCGCTTGGGCTTGATTAGTGGCCGGTTCTGCCCGTTCATCTTGTGGTAAAGCCCGCAGGCGTTACACAGGTAGTGCCCGGTGCCGTCTCGCCGCCAGAGAGGGGTGGCCGTGGCCCCACAGTTGACACACTCCCGGCCTTCTGAAGGGGGACAAGGAGAGACAGCGGGCCTACCTGATGGACAAGGTCGTGGGAGAGAGCCAGCGGGCAGGCGCCGACCAGGCAGCGGTCGGCCTCAGCCCGGGCTGCCTTGGGGGGTGACTTTTAGTTCCAGCCCTGGGCAGGAAGAGGGACCCGGAGGAGGTTTTCCCCCCCGCAGGAAAGGAGTTCAGAGAGTAGCTTTACGGCCAAAGCTCCATCTTCAAAACCCTCTCTCGAAGGAAGGGAAGCAGGGCAGGAGGGAGGAGTGGGGCCAAGGCCCCAGGGATTCTCGGCCCGACAATGAAAGGGTATTTACAGCAAACTTTGCCGAGGGCAGGGCGGTGGCAGGAGTGGCCCCGCTCGACCTGGCCGGGCCTGGGAGGGCTCTGGCTCGTTTTCTGGTTCTGCCTTTTTTCTATCTTCCCCTGTTCCCCAGCTGTGTCTGCCACCTCCCGATTCTCAGCCCTCAGCTCCTACCCTCCTTCTGTTCTCCAAGCAGGGGAATTCCTTCTTTCTCCCAAACTTCCCTCTCTTCCGCTGGGGCCCTAGAATTCAGTCCCGGACTCAGATCGAAGGTGGTGTTCTTTAAAATAAAAGAAGCCGTAAGCCCTTTCGTTTTTAAGCCAAGTAGACTAAGTGACCTTGGTCTTCAGTTGATGGTGGGTTTTTGGGTTTTTTTGTTTGTTGTTGTTGCTAAAAGACCATCTGGAATTCAAATCGAATGGGTAAAGCAAACTTGGGAGAAAGGGCTAGTTAAAGGCAAGGCAGCTGGCCTGAGTGGAACGGGGACCCCAAGGTGGGGCTGAGGTGGGTGCCCAAGGCGGCGGCAGCAATCAGGCCAGGGAGCTGGACAGCCTGGCATCACGCAGCCCCTGGGAAAACGTCTCCCCATTTAGTTTCAGCTGAATTGTCTATATATATGGCCAAGGAAAGGTTCCTAGACTCAGGGGTAAAAGTTAAAAAAAAAAAAAAAAATCTTCCTCTTTCTCGGCTTACAGGGATCGGGAAGGAGGCACTGACAGCCCGGAGCCCCGCATCAGCCCTGGTTTCTGCTCTATTGCCAGATTCTTGGACAAACCAGCTAGGCTCCAGCCTGTCTCCGCAGAGGCACCTACACTTCGTCCCCCTCACTCCAGCCTTCAGGGAGGGACAATGAAGGACACGCCAGGGGGCAGGGAGCAGGAACAAGTCCTGGGAATGTTGCTTTGGGGGAAATCTCCCAGGGAGATTGGGAAACATCAAAATCCCAAGATTGGACTGATTGAGTTGGAGAACCAGATTCCTTGAGGGTCTGGAGCATCTACAGTGCTCCCACAGCCTGCGCACACACTCACAAACACACGTACGCACAGCCTCCCTATTGTCACTTGCGTACTGCATTCTCATAAACTAAGTCAAGAGGCTGTTCAAATTTTCACTTAAGATCCAGGGAAGGGAAGGGGGAATTCCCGTCCTGTGTTCTGTCTGGTAGTAGCCACAACCTTGAAAGGGAGGGTGAGAGGCGGAGAAGGGAAACGAACTTTGGGGACCCCTCAGAACAGTTAAGAAAAGGGCAAAAGTTTGAGGGCTCCCTCTCTCCCATTCTGGAGTCTCAAACATCTGTTGGAGGCTATTGGAGGGGAACATGACCCATCCCTAGATCTGGAAGACTGACATTGCCCCATCTCCCATATCATAGCCCTCCTCCCCCCAACCATACACACAAAGGCACAAACCATCCCCACTTCCACAAGGTCCCTGGCGCTGGCCTTTACCTGAGCAGGAGCGTGCCTTGCTGCGCTGCTTAGGGGTGAAGCTGGAGGCAGGGCCACCCAAGAAGCCTCCAGGGTGGAAGAGTCCGCTGCTGTAGTCGTGGGCAGCGGCCGGCACATAGGACGGGTAGGTGGGGATGGGGTGGTGTGTGGCAGGCTGGGTGCCCATGGCAGCCAGGCCTGGGCGCAGGGGACTGCCGCTTTCCATCTTCATACTATCAGTCAGTGACACCTGGTACTTGACGCCATCCTTGTCCTCCCCCCGGGCTGCACTACCCCCTGCGGAAGAGGAGGCTGGAGAGGCAGCCCCGGTGGTGCTAGGGTCGGGAGACACTTCCTTAGGCGGAGTGGGTGGGAATCCAAAGAGGTGGGAGCCTGAGTGTGCTGCCGTGGGAGTGAGGGAGGCCACAGAGCTCCCGCTGCCTCCCGCACTCCCACCCCCTGCCCCTGGGTACACAGAGAGGGGACCTCCAGGGCCTCCGGCCGCTGAGGGGTGCAGCGGTGTCTTGGAGAAGGGGCTCACGGTCCAGGGATTGTGGTGGTGGGCCGCAGCAGCGGAGAGGGCAGCTTTACCCCCGTCGAGCCAGGGCAACCCGGGGCTGTGCAACAAGTGTGGGCGGCACATCTGGCCTCCTGTCAGGCGGGCTGCAGGAGAAGGGAGAGGGGTCAGGGTGGGCCGAGGCTGAGCCGCACCAGGGCTCTGATGTACAGGACCACAACTCCCAAGACAACCAGCAATAACCTTTTTCCCAAAGAAAACCAGAAACATGAAACCCCAACTGGCAATAATCAAGAATGTTCAGTCCAGAGCTAAAGGACAAGTGGCACAGAAGGAACCCCACCGGATTGGGGTCTGGAGGAACCCCCCCCACAAGCCAGCTGGAAATGGGCAGAAACCCTAGGGTACCCAAACCCTCCCCCAAGAGTCTGCTGCCCCCACCTTTCCCCGCCCCAATTTTTCAGTTGCTCCGATTCCTGCGGATCTCACATCCGGGAAGCAGGCAGCGGGGCCTTCCTCCCCTCCCGCGCCGGGCGCGCGTCGCGCCGCGCCTGGGCTCGCAGTGACCCACTGGCCGGGGGCTCACCGTGCGCGGGGCTGTAGGAGACGCGTGCCCGCGCGTGGGCTGGGTTGGCGTAATAAGGGTTGCCTTGCGAGTCTAGGTGGTTGAAGAAGACGTCCACCTCATCGGGAGGCAGCAGCTGCGCGGGCTCCATGTAGTTGTGCGCCAGGCCCGGGTGATGCGAGTCGGGGTGCTGCGCATTCAGCACGGCGGGGTGCGCCATCCAGCGCGGCTGCTCCGGCGCCACCTCCATGACCGGCAGTGGAGGCTCGGGATCTGGGCCGAGGCGGTGGCGGCGTCCCTGAGCGACGGAAGGGGGCGTGAGGGGCGCCGCCACGGCCTGACACCCCCAAAGTCCCGCCACGCGGAGTCCCGCACGCCGCTACGCCTCCGGCGAGCTCAGCGGAGGGAGAGTCCCGGGTGGGAGGAAAGCTCAAAGCTCAAAACGAAAGGAAGGCGGAGGAGAGGGTTCCGCCGCGCACATTCACATGGTGACCCCCGGTCCCAGAGCCAGGCATTCATGCACGCCGGGTCGCGCACGGGGACAAACCCCGACAGCAGTTACCCCAACAAACACATACGGAGTCTCACTTTAAGTCAGACACTCACACCGACCCCCCCCCCCTTCCCGGTACACAATCACATAAACACAGACCAAAAGTTGGAGACAGGAGCCTGGGCACCCACTGGGACACATGAGCCCAGAGACACGCACATATCTACACTTGGCGCCAGATACACATACCGACTTGACGACCCCCCCACTCCCCGCAAACACGCACACGCAGCCCCAGCGGCTAGGAGCCAGCCCCTGCGTGCACTCCCAGGAGGCACAATCAGGACCTCTCACCAAGCCACACCAAAGCCGTCACCCGCAGCCTGGGCCCGACCTTGAGCCCCGGAAGAGACCTCTCAGAGCTTGGCGCACCCCAGGCCCCCGGCTAGTTTTCGCACCCCAAACTTACACACGCAGCGCCGCGGGGAGGAGGGACCGCGGCCTCAGGGACGGGGGATCAGCACCGGCGGGAGCCCCGGGAGTGGAGGGCTCAGGAACCGCGCTTCGGGCGTCTGGGCTCACGGGGTAGGAGCGGGGGACAGCGCGCGCCTCGGCCTCAGGCCCGCCCGGCTCCGGCCCCTCGGCATCCTCCGGCCGCCCTGGCGCCAGCTCGCGACTCCTGCACAGACATGAAGCGGGGGCCGTGCACGCCTAAGAAGCCCGCGCCAGCCAATCAGGGCCGCGCGCCGCCCAGCCTCCGCCCCCCATTGGCTGAGCCCGCAACTCCGGTCCGCCGGACTCCCGGACTGACCCGCGGGCCTGCCCCCCTCCGCCCGCGGGCCCCTTCCCAGAGCCCTCCCGGCGGCCCCTGCTGCCAACGCCCCCCGCCAGGACCCTTACCCCACTGGCCAACTGCTTCTCCCCTTCTTGAGGACTCTCCTGGATCCCCCTAACCTCAGGGCCCTCCTCCCAGTAACTAACCCCCAACGGGGGACCCCTCCCCGGGAGCACGGGTCGTGCACCCTTCGGGTGCCTGGGTGTCCTCTCCCCGGGACCCCAGCCCTTCCACTCTCTGATACCACCTCCCAGCTGAAGTCTCAACTACCTACAGAGGCCACTACTCGGGCTCTGGCTGGGCAGGGGGTTGGGAGGACAACTGCGGGACAGCAAGAGCAGTGAGGGGCAAGAACTATGAGACTCGAGTGGGCACCTGGGCCTCGGACAACAAGCCGCTTAGGACTGAGCTCGACCGGGTGGAGGTGGCCTGGCTGGCGGCTCCAGAGAGGGGGAGGGGGCGTCCCCTTCCCGGGCGTGGCCTTCGCAGACCAGCGGGCCGAACTGCCTGGGGCGAGGCCACGGAGACCCGGACTGGCGCCGGCGCCGGCTCGAAGGATACGCCTCTGGGCAGGAGGAGGCATTTTTTCCTCCCGGGGGTCCCTGAGGCGGCCCCTGAGGAGAGGGAGGCGGGAGACTGAGAAGAGCGTCCCCTAAGTCACCTGGAACTGCTCGACACACACCTCCAGTGCAGAGATCCAGCTCTGTGGGGGGAGTGGGCCCCGTGCACAAATCTCCTTGCTGTCTCCCATTATACAGACCGAGGAGACCGAGGCTCGAAGGGAGCCTACGGCCGACGAGGGAGGCGGGGGTGGGTGGGTGAGTGTCGGAAACAACTTTTGGGGGGTTGAGACAGGTGCGAGGGTAAGGGGGAGGAATCGCCCTCCTCCAGCCCCTCTCCCTTAGCTGAGTCTACAGCTCTTGGAGTTAGGAGCCCAGAGGGATCCCAGGTGGGTCCGGGACAGGGGAGAGGGCGGGGGTCTGGGCCACCCCCGAGAGGGTGGGGGGAGGGGCGGCGGGATTGACAGTCGGTAATTGGGTAACTGGAGGCGGCTTCTCCGGCCGGGCGGCCCCGCCACCGCGACGCCGGGCCCCTGACGTCACCCGATTCGCCAGGAAATGAACTTTTTAATAATCCGAGGAGGGAGGAAAGCCTTCGGTCCCCTCGGCTCGGGGGGCTCCCGGCTAGGCCCAGCTCCGCCGGCGCGCCCCAGTCACCCTCTCGCAGGCCAGCTCTGGGCAGCGCCGGAGTGGGGGGGTGCGGGCACCGGCCAGGGGCCTCCTCCTGCCTAGGCGTCCGACTGTCCGTTCATCTGTCCGAGGCCCTGGCTCAGGTAAAGACGCGGGGCTGGAAGCGCGGAGCCCCATCTAGCTGGGAACCAGCGCGTCCCGGGCGCTTAGGGACCCTCCTGCCACGGCGACCCGCTGCGCCTCCCGCTCCGCTCCACTCCGAGGCGCGCGGGGCCCGCCTGGGCTTCTCGGAACTCCGCTCGGCAGGAGAGGAGCAGGAAAGGAGGCCGGCGCCAGCCGGGTAAAGCGCGCTGTGGCCGGGGAGCGCGCTGTGGCCGGGGAGTGGGAGCGCGACGCCGCGGGCGCCGGGCCTCCGCTGTCGGGCCAGGCAGGTGATTGGCTTCAGTGCCTTCCAGTTCGCGTTCCCCGAAACGCGCGCGGTCTGACCCGGACTCGCTGCCTCTCTGTTCGTCTCTCCTCCCTGCCTTTAGCTTACGATTCTTCATCAACGCGTAAAATGCGATCGTCAGAACCTCGAGCCTGTTTTGCGTCCCTGGAGCCTAGCGGGAGCTTATCAAAGACACCGCAGCCCCAGGGACAATCCCGGGTGTCCGACAAGGCTGTCCCGTCAACCTGAACCCCGGGACCCAGAGCAGGAGGCAGCCAGCAGTTTGCCTGCCCCGGGGCCGTGAACGCTGGAGCCGAGCGGAAGCTTTCCGTAAGGCTGGGATCCGCGCCTTGGCTCGCAGGGACGTGGCCGCTGCGGGCCCTCCGGAAAACAGGTAATTCGCTTTATTTCCCCCCAAAGGCGTAGTTCAAATGACCCCCATTCTGGGTGGGTCTGCAGTTTCATCTTTCCGAACCTGGCTAAAATACCCCTCCGGGGCAGCGTCTGGGCCACCGCAGCAGTGGAGGTGACCAGCCTGGCCGGGCCCCCTGCCTGAACTGCAGCTCCGAGCTGCCCGCTGGCCTGGCGCAGAACCGAGCGCGGGCGGGGATTTAATTACCCCGCTCGGCGGCTCAGAAAATCGCCGCGCAGAGAAGGTTAGCAGGGCGGTTAAGCAATGCTTGAGCAGGGGCCTCGGGAGATCCGCACCAGTCTCCCTTCCCGCAATCCCGGCCTAGAGAAAAAAAGGGGGGGGCGGGGAGAAGGGAGCTCCCCCACGTCTCCTGAGGCCCCCAGGCTTGCCTTCCTCCAAAAGGCGGGCAGGCAGCCGGCTTGGCGGAGGCCTCCACTATGATTGGAGCTCCTGCGTTGGACACGGGACTGCTGCGTTCTCCCGCAGGAACGAACCCGCCTGGGAGAGAAAACAGGGACGCCAGGCAGGAGAAGGCCCAGCTGGCCGGTAAAACACCCCCCACTCCAGTCCTGAGTGTACATGTATGCCAGACAGACCAAGGGACACTAGCCAGGCATCTTGCCCAGTAGGCAGCGGATACCATCTTATCATTTGAACCCAAACAAACGACGGGGAAGGATCAGGGAGCCCCCCCCCAAATCGGCTGGGATTGCAGGGGGGCATCCTTGTGCCGGAGAAGAGATTTATTTCAGTTTACAGCCTCGGGATTCGGGGTCTCCGGAATGCCCTCAGAGGGACGCCTTCCCTTTTTCATGTTTTTTTGTTTGTTTCCAAGGGTTGTTGCTTATAGCGGGTGCTGCCTTTTGATGGCACTGAGAAGCTGTCACTTTCCTTACATAAGAACAAGACTTCGAGAGGGACTGGGGAAGGGTAGCAGAAGAACTGAATTTTCTAACTGCCTTTTTCAAGTGGCCTGAGATTCCCCGAAAAAGCATGGGTCGTTGGTGCGGCTTGAGAAGCTTTCTCTGGGGAGCGGGCAGCGCAGGGATCCGAGGCCCGGTTCTATAGGGCCTCACCCGCCTGGGCCGCGGCCCTCAGCTGCCCGGTCTTCCCCATCCTACATCGCCCTCCCCTCTGCGCCCTTTGTTTAAACTTCCGCCATCCAGGGTAGACCCTCTAGGACCATAAGTTGGCCCTCTCTTTGTAACCTAATTCTTCCCACCTTTTCCTATGGGCATCTAATTGGCCGGCAGTGGAGGGGAGATTCAAAGAAACCAGTTTGCTTAGGGGACCTGCCTTCCGTAGGGATATTGAATTGTCAATCCAGCGACCTCCCAGCCCCACGCTGGCAATGTGCCTTGAGGGGTACTGAGGAGGAAATGGGGACCGCTTCAGCCAGAGGGGCTCAGAAGTCCCCACTGGGCAAGGCCTCAGATCTGCTAGGCCTGCTGCCATCCCTCCAGAGGGGTTCTGCAATGGAGGGAACAGGGCTCCAACAGCCCCTTCGCTGGTTGGGGTTCACTTCCAGGCCCCCAGATGTGAAGGCTCCCACTCCTCTGGCCTCCATGATGGCTCTCCCATCCCTTACGTCTTTGGGGCCTTTTTGAATCGCAAAACCCAAGGCCCATCTTCCGAGAAGTCTTGGCGCCCTGTGGCGAGGCGCCTGGGAGATCCTCTATCTCCTTATCAGGTTGTAACCACCTACCTCCAAGCCGGACAGCCTCCCCCACGGGCCCTGCTGAGACCGGCAGCAGTGGGCGGCGTTTTTCCCTGCTTCACGAACAGCCACGGTTTACTGTGGGTGCCTGGCGGCCCAGCGGCCGGGCAGCATGACAACTGGCAAATCCGTTTCGTTAGACGCAATTTGTTTGCAATTTGTCAACCCGGCTGGGAAACGCTCTCCAGAC